CCACCACCACAGCACCACCGCCACCACCACAGCACCACAACCACCACCACAGCACCACCGCCACCACAGCACCACCGCCACCACAGCACCACCACCGCCACCACCACAAGGCTGCACAGTCAGTAAGAGGCAGAGCCGGTCTCACTGCAGGCAGCGGCAGTGTCACCTCTTCCCAACCAGACTCTCCTGCAGGCCCACGTTGGTCTGACTGCATTGTAGACCATGCTGGGGAGCCCACTGTTGAGAGGGGACCAAAGGGGGCTAGGGGGGCTCTCACAGCTCCAATCTGTGAGGTGCCTCCTTGGCTCTAGAACCTAGCTGGGCATTTCCATGCCACTAGACAAAGCCCCAGCTCCTCGCCTGGGCTCTCTAAGTCACGTCAGTCATGCACCTCCTCCTGGGGGCCAGGCGTGCGGTGAGCCAGCCTGGGAGAGGAGGTCTGGACTGGGAGTCAAGAGGAAGATGCTAGAACTCGGAAAGTGAGCTGAGATCCTACCAGGAGCCAGGGCCTGGATGGGGTTCCCTTCCTCAGGCTCTTCTCAAATACAAACCTGATAAACACAGGTCTCTGCTTAGAAACGCCCTGCTGGTGCCGGGCTGACTCCTGCCTGCTTTCCCCACTTTCTTCATCTGTCCGTCACGTCTGCCTCCTTCCCCACCTCCCCCCCCCTGGCCACATCTAGGCCTGAGACCCTCTGGTTCACAGCTCCCTCCTTCAGTTTTCATCATGTTCCCGGTCCTACAGTTTGCCTGACACACTCACTGTTCCCTTTGCCCAACTTGGCTTCCAGTGATTCACCATTCAAGACCCACTGAGATGTCACCTCCTCTCTGAAGCCTACCCTGAATGCTCCAGACCTGTGTAGTCATCACGCATGTTATTCCTTAAGTAATCCTTATCCCCAGTGCTGGCGCATCTCTATCTGGTCAGGTATTTATGAGCTGGCCTCCCCGCAAGTGTCCTGGTCCTGTCTGGGTGATGTCTGCCTGGGAGCATGGGCCCCAAAGCTTCTCTGGAATCAAGCCCTCAGGCTTTCGGCAGGTGGTCTAAGCTCTAGTGCTTCTGTTTCTTCATCTCTAAAATGGGCACAACGAAAACACGTCCCTCACAGGGTTGGTGCCTGGCACATGGTGGGTGTGCCTATCACCATGCAGGACAGAGCAGCTCAGAACTGCCCCGGATGCAGTAGGCATGGCTGCCTGCTCAGTCTTCTTATCCTGCTCCCTTGTACGGCCCCCACAGGGGTTCCTGGCAGCAATGTGGGAGCCCTCATCAGGTTCCACCCCTCTCAGGACCCCGTCTCTCTGAAGTACAATCTCTGATTCCCTTCTTTCTCTAGAGCCCCTGAGGGGCCAGTCCTTGGGAAAGGATACCGTGCTGGGGAAGGTAGAGGGTCAGAGGAGAGGAAGACCGCCCAACAAGACAGATTGACACAGCAACTGTAACAATGGACTCAGATGGTGAGGATGGTGGTGCAGGAAGGACGGGGTTCAGATCTGTTGTTCACAGGGTCACGATGAGTTGCAGTCAACTCGATGGCACCTAACAACAACAACATCAACTAGAGCCCACTGTGGGCACAGGGGTGGTGACAGCACCAGGGTTTTCTTGCAGGCAAAGCCTGGGCAGGGGACTAGACTCTATGCCCACTAGTGAGTCTACAGGTCAGACTCGGCCCTGCCTCAACTTCAGCTTTGTCTCTGGACTGAGGAGGACACTCAGGGGCACATGGCACTCACAGAAGTGACTCAGAAGGGAGAAAAATGTGCAACAATGAATGAATGGAAATTCAATTTTTCTGTAAAACTTTCATTAAAATATCAATTAAAAAAAAAGAAAAAGAAGAAAAAACAACTCAGAAGATGCTGCTGGGTGGAGGCGGGGTCACTCACCATTGAGTGTTGGGGGCGTGGAAGGAGATCCTAAGGGAGATGAGTCATCTGAGTCCAGGTACCACGTGGCCTCATCCATGCGGGACCTTCTCCTGGTGGAAGAAAGAGGTGGGGGAGGTGGGGGATGCTACACCTCAGACAGGCAGGCAGGCAGGCGGGCAGGCAGTGCTATGAGGGCAGGGAGACTGCTGGACTCAGTCACTCACCTCCCATTCTGGGCTTCCCCGGGCTTAGGGGAGCTGGGGCCCCAGGCCCAGCATGCTCGCCGCTCCCCATTGCTTGAGTCCTCCAGCCGTCGAGGGGACTGGCGACCCCAAGCCTGGCCAGGTTCTACAGGTTCCACTGGAGTGGGGAGGGGGTAAAATCAGCAGCGTCTGAGCCTGACATTGGAGCCCCAAGCGTATCCTCAAATAGTGATGAGAGGCAGGCTTTCCCAGGGTGACTGCTTAGAGCAGGGGGAGCAGTTCAGACCCCACAGTGCCTGGGTTCCAGGACCAGAGGTGGGAGCAGCATCTCATCTCACCCTTGGTCCCACTCTCGCTGCATGATTAGACACCGAGGCAAACTGTCTAGGTGGGAACTGCAACCTGGCCCAAATCTTTAATAGCTGTCCAGCAGGCACTTACTTAAGCAAGTCACTTTTGCTCTTTTCATTGATAATAAAGATGACGATTATCTATTTTGTACAGTTACTGTGTGATTTGTCTTGTGCATGTTGGGTATGTAGCCAAGAAAATGAATAGATATGTCTTGGAGAGGGTGCAACCAGAGTGCTCTTTGGAGGCAAGAATGATGAGGCTTCACCTCACATACCAAGGACATATTGCTAGGAGGTGCTATTTCTTGGAGAAGGACATGATGTTGGGAAGGATGGAGGGTCGGTGAAGGAGAGGACGACCCTCAACCAGGTAGACTGACACAGTGACTGCTGCAGTGGGCTTTTGTGTGTCAGGGAGTGAGGATGGCACAGGACAGGATTGTCTTCAGATCTTTTGTTCATAGGGTCGCTTAGTTCACTTGACTCGTCACCTAACAACAACCACTACCACCACCAGCAGCAGGAAAAGACTAGTCCCAGGAGGACAGCAGCCTTGGAAAAGCAGGTGGTCAGAAAGGCCCTCAACTGGATGAACTGTGATCAACAGTGGCTGCAATAATGGATTTAAGAGCACCAGTGATCGGGAGGTTGATGCAGGATCAGGCTCTGCTCTGTGGTGCACTGCCGTTAGTTACCGTTGAGTTGACCGAGACTCTTAGCGTCCCTATGAACAACCGTTGTGCCCTTGCCCGATTCTATGCCATCTCACCATTTCTGGCATACTTGCATCCACTGCTGCAGTCACTGTGTCAATCACCTACCTTGTTGAGGGTCTTCCTCTCCTACAATGATTGGACCCTTGCAAGAAAGATGATGTTCTCCAAGGACCGCCTGCCTAACAATAATCCTCACGTATGTGGGACGAAGCTTTGTCATCATTGCTTCCCTCTGAATGGAACCCCTGCCTCATAATTATTATTTTTTTTTTAAATTTTGTGTGCGTGTACCGTCAAATCAGATCTGACTGGTACAGGAGGATAATGCGCCTCCTTCTCCGGCAGAGCGTCTGGTGGATTTGAACCGTGTTCCTCTGGCATTGCAGTGCAGCTTCTTGCCACTAGGCCACCAGAGCTCCCCTCTGCCTCATAATTATTGTGAGGACTTACTAAATCAACTTTAGTAAAGCATTTAGGGAAATAAATGACACAATATCATTCATATAAGTCTGATCAAAGTGCTGCCTGATGGGCTCAGAGGTACTGTCTGGACCTAGAGTAAAGAGCCTGGGGCAAGGAGGAAGAATAGAGGAAGGGCACGGGGTTCTTACACTGGATGGCTCGGAACCGGGGGAAGGTGGGCGAGTCTCCAGCCCCAACCTCGAAGACGTTTCTCCTGCGATCAAGCCCAGGGGAGGCCTGCACGGTGATGCGGTGCTTGAAGTCTGCGAGTGGGAGGTAAAGATCTATGGTGAAGGGGAGCCAGTCCCCATCCTGGAGGACCCTAGGTCAGCTTCCAGGTTACCAGTGACTGGGACTAGCACCACTTCACGTGGCCCCAGAGCGAGCGGGAGGCCCCAGGACCCGGAGCCGAGCTGCAAAGACTGGCAGCCACGCCCCTTCGCCTTCTCAGAACTGCCGGGAACCCCGCCCTTTCCCGCCTGCAGCCACTCCCCGACCAACTTGCTCGTATTTCCGCCCCAACCCGCCCACAGACACAAAAACAATTCTGGCCCCTCCCCTTCCAGCCTTCCACTCAGGGCCCACCCACCCCCTCTAACCCAATCCCAGCACGATTAGCCGACAAGCCCAACCTACCCCTCCATCCAGGTAGCCAATGGGTTCCACGGCCCCGCCCCCGTGCCCTTGCAGCCAATAGCAGACCGCTATGCCTGGTCCCGCCTCTTACCGAGAGGCATGCTGATGCGCTCGCCGCCGTCTCGAGCCCGAAGCTTGCTACGCTTGAAGGTGCCGCGGCGGCGGCGCACATGCGGCCGCTCGCGGTCCACTTGCTGCAGTAGCAGCGTCAGCTCGCGCTCGAACACTTCCAGCTCCCACTGTGCCAGCAGGTGCTCGCGTCGCCGCAGCTGCTCCGCTTGTGACCGCTGCTCGCGCGCCGCTCGTGTCAGCTCTTCCTCGCGGCTCAGTAGTTCCTGCACGCGGGGCATTGGAGAGGATGGGGTCAGCCGGGAGCGCAGCCCCGCGTCTCACCAGCTCTTTGCCTGGGAGGTGCTCCACCCCAACGTCTTCACCCAATTCCAGAGCCCGGTCTCCTCGCACCTTTTCCTTGGCTCTCAGTTCGTCGAAGAGGCCCTGGATCTCGCGCTTCCAGCCTTCCTGCATGGAATGAAAGGAGTCCCGCGGCATTTCCCGCAGGACCTGCGCTTCTAGCGCTTCCAATTGCTGCAGGATGGAGGCGAAGTCGGGCCGGCGGTGGGGGTCCTGCGCCCAGCAGTCTAGGGACAAGACGTGGGAGGAGACAGATTCTTATCAGTCTGTGGATGGAGTGTCCTGTATCAGGGATTCCGGCCCCTCCAGCAGCCCCCGCCCCCTTACCGGCCATGAGCTGAGCAAAGGGCTCTGGGCAGGTGGATGGGATGGGCAGGGTGAGCTTGTTAACGGCCACCCCATAGGCCACGGCAAGGCAATCGATGCCACGGTAGGGCACCTCTCCGGTCAGCAGTTCCCATAACAGCACTCCAAAGCTAGGGGCAAGACAAAAGGTTCGCGTCCCTTCCGCACTCACCCATCAATCCACCGCAAAGCAACCAGGTGCCAGAAATGGTCAGAGGACCTCTGCCGGAGATCCGCCCATTTGCCCAGCCAGACTTTGGCAGCCACCCTGACCGCCTGCTGTCCCAGATCGTACCTCCAGACATCGCTGCCCTTGGAGAAGGTGGAGGCCTTGATGACCTCGGGAGCCATCCATGCGTAGGTGCCCGCAGCACTCATTTGCGTGGTTTTGTGCCATTCGCGCGCCAGGCCGAAGTCCGTGATCTTCAGGGTCTTGTTTTCCATGTCGTCACCTTCGATGGGTTGCAGCAGGAGAACTGAGGGAGAGGAGGGAGGGGTGTTGGTGGGGGCACACGGAAGTGCTGGCAGACACCCTTGCTGGGTATGGGGAAGCAAAGGGGCGCAGTCTAGACCTTTCCTGGTGCACTGCGCCTGGGTGGAGCAGGAATTCCTGAGGTTCTACGAGAGACCAGGCTTTTTCACTATCTCTAGTACTCAAAAATTTTAAAATGCAGTAGATATTACTATCTTTATTTTAAAGAGAAGGAAACTGAACAAGGGAGGACTTGGCCAAGGTCACAGCAAATAAAGCAGATTTCAGCCAGGGCCACTGGCTCTAAAGCCTATGTTCTAATATCCACCCAAGACTGCATTTCATAGAGACTGATAATGTGGCAGCCTCTTGACCTTGGTGACTTTAATCTTTTGCCAGTGATTTCAAGCGAAACTGTGGGTGTCAGGTCCTTTTGCCAAGGCAGGAGGGTGAATCAGAAGCTTCCACGGGCGAAGAGGCTGATACCTCTTTCAGAGAGAGGAAGGGGGCTAAAAAAGTGATAGTTCTGGGCTGGAAAGGAGGTGATTGGGGTAAACAGGAGTGATGTGCAGTGCCCTGCAGATCTCATGCCAGAACAAGCATGGCTGGAATGACAAGATGAGAAAGGAGCAATTGAGGGTCTGAAAGAGTCCCTCTCTACTGACTGTACAGGAACTGGGTTTCAAAACGTATCTAGTTTTGGGGAGCTCTGGTGGCCTAGTGGCAAGAAGCTGCAACTACAATCCCAGAGGTGCACGGTTCGAATCCACCAGATGCTCTGCCGGGGAAGGAGGAGCAATCTCCTCCTGTACCAGTCAGATCTGATTTGACGGTACGCACGCAAAAATAAATAATAATAATAATAATAATAATAATAATAAAAAGAACCGTATCTAGTTTTAAGATGCATTCCCAGCTTCCACCTCAGGAGGTCAGCACTGCATGGAGGCCCCTATAGGGTGCTGGGATGGGCAGAGAAGAAGAAATCTTAACACAGCCAGTGAGTCAGGGAAGACTTCTTAGAGGAGGTGGCAAAATTAGCGCGGAGCTGGGCTCTCCAGAAGCTCCACCTTCTGTCACACCTTCTGTCAGAGGGCAGCCCTGGTCCTCCAGGGTAACTGGCTCTGCTGCTCACTCCCTCCCTGCCAGGCTCCACTGGAGGTCAGGTCCACCTCCCTTCCAGGGCTCCTTCTGCCTCTGATTGCTGGTATGCTGTGTGGCCTTTTTAAGATTGATGTTACTCAGAGCTTCGCCTTCCTCAAAAACCCTGCTCCCCAGTTCTTAGCCTCTCCCACGAGCTTGCTGCTCTCTCTTCACTGGTGTCCCCACCACTGAGCTCTGAGTCAGACATCAGATCCTCCACGCGGTGTTCACACACCCTTAGTAACCATCTGCATCACTTCACTGTGCCTGGAAAAACTGTCCATAGGTTCTCCTAACACAGAACAGCCTTGTGATCCAGCCATCTCCTGAGCCAGACGGTGGTGAGTCCCAACAGTTAATAAGCCTGGAGCTGATAAGCAATGCCATCTCACTGAGTGGCGAGAGTATTAAACAAGAGAAGACTTTTCTCATCTTAGCACAGGACATACGGGGGAGCTCAATAAACGCAGTTGTTCTGGAGATTGCGTTGTTCGCATCTCCTGGACTTTCCTGTCAACGCCTTACTCTCAGCTGCATCACAGCCTCCAGCCTGGCCTCTGCAGGTTCGGAGCCTGGCCCTCCAGTTAGCCCTACACAAGCTTGTTCTGAAGGTGCTCTGGCCATGCAACAGCCAAGCGCTCCACTCTAACGAAAAGGCTTGTGATTCGAACTCATCAGCGACTCTATGGGAGAAACCTGGCAATCTGCTTGCAAACAGATGACAACCTTGGAAGCCGTATGAGGCAGTTTTACTCTGTCCTGCAGGGACACCGGGGGTCAGAATCAACTTAATGGCAACAGTTTTTGTTAAGCTGTTCCACTGAGGTATTGCAACAGCTGGGCCTGGTAAGTGATACAGCGACAGTGCCTTGTGTGCTAGGCCTGGGGAACTGCTTCCTCCCATGGTGTCAAAGCTCAGCTGTTCTCTTGAAGACCAACCCTTACCACTTCCGGTCTGGTCTCCAGCCACCTTGTGGTCCCCACAGACGGCTGAAGCACTTTCTACTCCTGTATGTCGATGTTAATTTCCTCCTTTTCCAGTCAGGGAAACTGAGGCCCAGCGGAATAGCTGCTCACTTGGGAGAACCTTTGAGTCCCTTTGCACATTTGGTCTACCTGCTGTTGCCTTCTCCAGCTCGACCTGCCACCTAAGTTAGTCCTGCCTGGATCCTCTCTCATCCATGCTGCCTTGCTGCCTGTCTGTGCCTCCAATTTGTGCCAATTCATGATTCTGGGGTCAGATGGAGGCCTCAGCGGAGGTCAAGGCAGTCTGAGGGGACAGAGTTGGAGATCAAGGTTGGACCTCTGGCCTCTGAAAGGGACCTGGCTCCCTGCCTGCCCCCCACCCCCACCCTGGCTGCCCCCATGGAGCTTGGGAGTGGTCTAGGCAGCTCACACCTCTTCCGCTTCCCTCCCAGGGGCCCTACTTCTCCTTTTTGGGAGGTCTGGGCCAGGTCCCCAACTGGGAGGGGGGTCCTGGGGTGATAATTAGGGGAGGTCAGGCCCTGGCTGGCTTGGCTGGTCAGTCCTGTGACTCGTGGGCCTGGAGAATTCGCCCTCCTCACAAGGCCCCCATTGTGCAGGAAAATCACGCCATTGTTTCCTGCTGGGCCCCCCCCAAGCTCTGGGACTTCTCCCGCCCCTTCCCACAGACGGCAACCTGGGCCCAGGACTGGGTCTATTAGGTGGGCTGCCAGGCTCAGAGGCACTGCAGGCATCTTGCCTGCCCTCCTAGGCCGCCACCCAGACTCTAGGAGGAAAGCGGGGAACAGGGGTGAGCAGGGTGCAATCCCGGGCTTCTTCCTCTCTGGCAGCTTCCCACCCCTAGCTCTTTCCTCCCCTGCAGGCAGCTGGACAAGGGAGGGAGCAGGAGCTGGAGCAGGGGCAGGAAGCCGGCTCTGGGCAGCAGGAAACGCAGGAAGCAGTGGGGAGGGTGGGGAGCAGGGGCCTGGGCTATTGTTCCATTTTTTCTGGAAAGAAAACGGAGGAAAAACAGAGAGCAAGAGTCCCCTCCCCCCAGCCTTCGGGGAATCCCCCTTAGGTTAGGGTAGGCAGTGGGGTCTTTGGATGGCTGGGTCTAGGGCTCAGCCAAGAGGGACCTTCTACCATGGCCCTCCAGCCTTAAATAAGCAGAGTGGGTAGGGGGCTGACAGGCGTGCCCTACCCCTCCAGTTCTGGTAAGGATAAGAGATAACACTGAGTCCTGGTGTTTGGCTACCTCTAAGCCACTTGTCCTTGGCTTAGGCTAGGAGTTCCAAAATATGCACAGCCACCTCTCCTTAGAACTTTCCAGTGACTCCATTGACCCCAACCCCCTACTCTTGCATTTTCACAGCATTCCATCCTGTGGCTGGGTTCCAACAGGGTCCAGCCCCAGGGACCCCTCTGCAGGAGTTGGTCCTGCTTCTGGGCTGTTGCTCTGCTCAGGCCCTGCTGGGACCTCCTACTGAATGTCCTCCTTCTAAACACTGCCTGTTCTTGGCTTGGTGTGAAGCCCTCCTAAGCCTGCCCTTGCTTGTCTTGGGTCCATGATGGGTGTGTGAGTGTCCCGAAGTGTCTGGAGATGGAGTTCCTCATGGCAGAGGTCCCCCTGAGCCCAGCCATGCCCACCCTAAGTGCTGACCCCACTCAAGGCCCTCTAAGTGATCCAGACTCAGAGGTCCCCAGTTAGCCTGCAGCAGGCACCAGGGCTGGCCTCATAGTTACACCCTTATGGCCATCCTAGGAGATAACATTAACCCCATTTTACAGAGCCTGAAATTGAGGTGGTGCATAGAAATAAGTAGCTAGAGGTCCTGTAGTCTGGGGAGGGTGGGCTTAGGACTCCAGCCCTCAGTCCCCACAGGAGCACTCTCCTTTGAGGCCTCTGTTCTGGGGGAGCTGCCCACCCTATGTGGGGTGTGCCAGCAAAATCACAAACGTGAACTGCAAGGGATGAGAGCACTGGGATCTATGGATATCCTCGAGGTGGTGGCCATGCTGGGGAAGGACACCAGAGGCCATGGAAAGACTAAATGTGACCCAAACTGCAGCTGTAGGCTGCAAGGCTGATTCTGCTGAGGTGGGCAGGGGCTTGGGATTCCTGCTTTGGGGGGGGTCCATGGACTCGGCACTGTGTACTATGGAGATTATCCCTGAGGCGGGGGCTCCTGCCTCCAGTAGACCCTCAGATGGGCTCAGCTGGATGTTGGCTGTGTGTACTTGGGCCTTGCCACCCTCCAGCCACGCCCCCCCCCAGACTCACTGTTGTTGGACTTGAGGTCGCGGTGGATGACAGGCACCAGGGCCTCGCAGTGCAGGTAGTGCATCCCACGGGCGATCTGCACGGCCCAGTTGACCAGCACGTGGGGTGGTACACGCCGACCAGCCAGAGCACGGCTGAGGGGCCCCCCTGCTGCATACTCCATCACCAGGCACAGGTTGGGTTCCTCCAGGCACACTGCCTTGAGGGCGATGATGTTGGGATGCGCCAGCATGGCAAAAAGTCGGGCCTCCTGGCGCACACTTTCAGCTGTCACACTGATGTCCTCATCGGGGTCCTGGCGAGCCGCCTTCACAGCCACCAGCTCGCCTCGCCAGCTCCCACGGTACACCTTGCCAAAGCCTCCAATGCCAATCACCTCCTCCAGCCGGAGCTCCTGAAAGCTGGCCACCTCGCAGGGGGGCGGGCCGCTGCCCCTCGACACATAGTTGGAAGGAAAGATGCCCACCTGGCCACCCACCTGGCCTGCCCACCAGCCCTCATCGCCAGAGATGGCTGCATCCCGAGACAGCACCTCAACTCGGTCGCCCTTCCGCAGGGCCAGCTCGTCCTGCCCATTGGGCTCATAGTCAAACAGGGCTGTCCACACAGGGTTGGCATAAGCCGCTGCCTTCGGGGACCCCTCTGGCCGGGCCCCGCTGCCACCCGTGCCGCCTCCGCCTCCACTGCCACTGCCGTTCCATGACCCCAGCGGACTCTTGAGAAAGAGGTTCTTCAAGGGCTCCATGGCCCGGAGCCGGAGTCCGTGCGTGGAGGGGACCGGCCTTGGGTGCCCCGGGCTTGACTCTCACCCCCGCTGATTGCCGCAGCTTCTAGTCCCGAAACCTGGGCATCGGGCCCTGGCCCTCAGCCCCAGACCCACGCCTCTCTGGGGAGCCAGGAGTGCCGCCTCCCGGCCCCCCACATCTCGGGCTTCTGGATGGGGCGACCCAGGACAGTATGGTCAGGCCCGGGGGGTGGTGCCCCGGGGCCACCAGCGCCTCACCATGGCCACCTCGGAAGGGCCCAGGGCTCTTGTCCGAAGCAGTCCCGGGAGCCTGGCTCCGACGCCCGCCAAGTCTAAGGTGGGGCTCTCCAGTGGCAGCGCCTGCGCTCCGATCTGCGCGGTGGTGGCGGGAGCGTCCCCAGCCGGGCCGGGGCTGTCCCTTCCCGGCCCCGATCCCTCGGCCCGACGGCTCCGACCCCGTTCCCTTCTTCCTCCTCCCTTTGTACTTTGGCCCCGGGGGCGGGAGGCAGAGGTGGAGGGTGGAGTTTCACTTTTTTCCGCTCTTCTCCCTCTTGCAGGAAACAGCATCAGATGACGCGGGCGGCAGCACCGCTCCCCGCCCGGAGGCTCCGGCGGCGGGCCGGGGAAGTTCCCGAGTAGGCGGGCGAGGCCGGAGCAGAGGAGGGAGGGCAGCCCCGGACCCTCATCGCTTCAGGGCTGGGGTCTGGAGAGAAGAGCCCCAGGCGGGTCGCTCCGCCGCCCCGCTGGGAGGCTGGTCTCTGCCGGGGACCGGGCGTCTGGGTCCTCTGCATTTGCAAAACGCTATGAAGAACCGGATTTGGGAGTGGGGCGAGCCTGACTCTAGTCTTGGCGACTAGGCTGCCAGACTGTGTGACTCATCTTCTCTGGGTCTCCTTCTCTTCATCTTGAAGTGGGGGCTAGAAGCTAGGCTTGGCAGGGCAGCGGGCAGGTAGAGAGATGGAACCTGATGTCCTGTTCCTCTTGGAGTTGTCTACAGCTCTAATTATCAAATCCTTTACCTGGGAAATAATCCACTTTCCATGACTCTTTTTCGGTGGGCAGAAGCTAAACTCTGTTATCCCTAAGTCGGCCCAGTGATTGGACTCAGAATGGCAGAGTCGCCCCTTTACTACTGCTGTCTATGGTTGACCACTCCGCCCCCCAACTGCCTTGAGTCTGTCACTTTAAGAAGAACGATGCAATCTAGCTTCGACTATTTTAGCCTGTGCCCGGAAGAGCGCTCTCTATCCATTAAGTCTGAACCCTGACTCGGAAGTAGAGGCTGCGACGCCGTGACATAAAAGAACTCAAAGGGGCGGACTCAGGAGAGCGCGCTAAGGAAGCGCCAAAAACTTATTGTAGGTCTATGGAGTCCACACCTGCACCCTTCACCCGCCTCCTGTAATTCATTGGACTGCATTTGCGCCAATCACTCCACCACTAGCCAATGGCCATCCAAGTATTACTTTGGTCCTGTGCGCTGAGTGCGAGGTTGCCAATACCTGGCCATGCGCATGCGCTCAGCCTCTGTTTCAGTTTTGGAACACCACCCAAAAGCATACCCTACTTCTCCTCTTGTTATCACTTTTCTGCGCTTGCGCATTCTTGCCGTCAGGTTTTCCTTTTCCGGGTCCCAACTGGACCTGTCGGGCGCATGCGCCACTGCAGGCTGGCGGCTCACGGCTCCTTCTTCCGGCCTCCCCTTTGGGCCGGCACCGGCAGCAGTGGGACGAGCGCGGACCCCGAGGGCAGTGACCTGTGACCCTGAAAGTGGACCTTAGGTTCCCAAGCCTCTCCCCGGGCCGGAGTTGAGGGGGCTTGCCATCTGCGCCCAGGAAGCACCCACCCCACGCCCACCTCTGGATGCTGCCGGCGAGTGCCCGGCCCGTGTCCTCCGCCCGCCTGCCGCCGGCTCGGCCCCTCGGAGCACTTGGGGGCCGGGGGTAGGGGCCCGGAGGTGCTCCCGATGCAGCCCCACCCCCGCGCCCTGGCCTTGCGCCGCTGACTGCCGGCCCGGCCCCGCCCCCTGTCTGAACCCCGGCCCCACTGACCATCCTCCCCCACCCCGGGGGAGGTCATGGCGTGAGCGCGGGGCCGGGCCCCCGGGGCCCTCGCGCTCCAGGCGGGGCATGGGCCAGGGGCCGCCCCCATGAGGGTCCCAGGAGGGGGGCGCGCGCAGCAGCGGCGGGGCCATGGGGTCACAGGTATTGCAGATCCTGCGCCAGGGGGTGTGGGCCTCGCTCACCGGCGGTTGGTTCTTCGACCCGCACCAGAGCACCTTCTCCAACTGTTTCCACCTCTACGTCTGGATCTTCCTGCTCACTTTCCCCTTCTTGCTGTACATGGTGAGAGGCTGCCGCTTCCTGGAGCTCCTGCGGGGGAAGGGAGGGCAGAATGGCGTGGAAGGGGGCAGCTGCCAGGAGCGCTGGCGTGGGAGAGGAGTCACTGCAGTTTCGGGGGAGTGGGTGGCGGTGAGGTGGGTGACCTTGAGTCCCTGGCTCACGCGCTTTGCTTTGGAACAGAAGCGTCTTGACAGGGCCGCTGTAGTGGTTACGTGCTGGGCGTTGAAATCTCTTACTGTGTGTTTAGTCGTCATGGCAGTGGCTGGCATGTCCACGTGGGCAGGATCGGTGCACGGTGCTACCTGCCTTGCTGTCTGTCTTCAGGTCCTACCCCCCAGCCTGTTGGTGGCCGGTGTGTACTGCCTTGTGGTGGCTGTCATCTTTGCAACCATCAAGACTGTGAACTATCGGCTCCACGCCATGTTCGACCAGGGCGAGATTGTGGAGAAGCGCAACTCTCCCACCGGTGAACCCGAGGAAGAGGCTGCCCAGGGGGACAGCAGTCCGCCCAGGTGGGTGGGGCAGAGGCTGCACTGGGCCTGAGCATGGCACCTGGTGCGGGGGCTCGGGCAAGAGAGTGGTGTGATTGAACTTGGGCTGTTCTGTCCTTGGGTTTGGAATTGTGATGGTTTTCTTGAGAAGGCAGGAAATACGGGAGGTTGAGCCTGACGTCTCCCGTGGCTGCTCTTTACCACCAGGGACCCAGGGGTGGAGATGACAGTGTTTCGGAAAGTGAGTTCCACACCCCCAGTGCGTTGCAGCTCCCAGCATTCTGTGTTTGGCTTCAACCAGGTCTCGGTGAGTGGTCCTCGCCCCAGCCCTCAGCCCTCCCTCTCCTCTTCTGGGATGGGGCCTCCGTGGCTGTGCCCTGAACCAGCTTCTTGTTTTCTTTGCTCACTGATGATCCTGTCTGTTCAGGAGTTGCTGCCCCGGATAGAGGACTCTGGGCCCCTCAGAGGTAGGTGGTTGGAGAGTGGTGTTTGTGGAAGGGTCTAGATGGGGCTGTCCCGGGGTCCCACTGATGACCTGGGGTCCACGGTTGCAGACATCAAGGAGCTGGTGCGGGAGCAGGGCAGCAACAATGTGATCGTCACCTCTGCTGACCGGGAAATGTTGAAGCTCAGCTCGCAGGAGAAACTGAGTAAGTGGGCGAGACGTGGCTGTGTCTTGGGGACAGCCTGCCATCTTTTCTTTTGCGCCCTCCCCCATTTTCCCATCATGAGGCTCCCTGCTTGTTCCCATCGGGGTCTTCCTCCCTGGCTGGCATTTAGGGAAGCAGAGAATGCAAGCTCTTTTTCGTCCTCCTCTCACTCTGTCTCTTTCTCTGGACAGTTGTAGACCTTCCTCAGACTCCCCCAGGAGCTGCCCCGGACCCCTCCCTCCCCAGCACAGACTCTTCAGATCGTTCTCCCCTGGCCGGCGCCGGAGTGCCCTGGAGCGGGAGTAGCGTGGCTGACACCCCCATGAGCCCGTTACTGAAGGGGAGTCTCAGCCAGGAGCTGAGCAAGAGTTTCCTGACACTGACCAGGCCTGACCGTGCCCTGGTGAGGACCAGCAGTCGGCGGGAGCAGCGTTGGGGTGCCGGCGGCTACCAGCCCCTGGACCGGCGAGGCTCTGGGGAGCCCATGCCCCAGAAAGCGGGATCCTCAGATTCCTGCTTCAGTGGTACCGACCGGGAGACGTTGAGCAGCTTCAAGAGTGAAAAGACCAATTCCACCCACCTGGACAGCCCCCCTGGAGGGCAGGCGCTCGAGGGCAGTGACACGGACCCACCCTCTGAGACTGAGCTTCCAGCCTCGCCTGATGCTGGTGTCCCGTCGGATGACACCCTGCGCTCCTTCGACACGGTTATCGGCGCCGGGACGCCCCCAGGCCCAGCTGAGCCACTCTTGGTTGTGCGGCCCAAGGATTTGGCCCTGCTGCGGCGGCCTGGCAAACGGCCACCAGTACGGAGACACTCCCCGCCCAGCCGGGCCCCTCGAAGGCCCTTGCTTGAGGGTGGGGGCTTCTTTGAGGATGAGGACACCAGCGAGGGGAGCGAGCTGAGCCCAGCCTCCAGCCTCCACTCGCAGCACCGCTACAGCTCTGACAGTTCCTCGTCCACCTCCTGCTACTCCCCAGAGAGCTCCCGGGGTGCGGCGGGGGGTCCCCGGAAGCGGCGGGCCCCTCATGGGACTGAGGACGGGGCTGCCGTGCCCCCCAAGCGGCCCTATGGGACCCAGAGGACTCCTAGTACTGCCAGCGCCAAAACCCATGCCAGGGTGCTGAGCATGGATGGGGCGGGGGGCGACGTCCTCAGGGCCCCCCTGGCTGGTTCCAAAGCTGAGCTGGAGGCCCAGGCAGGGGTGGAATTGTCCGCCGGGGAGCCCACTGCACTGCCTACTGAGACCCGCAGGGGTCCTGCTGCCAACCAGCCAGGCTGGCGCGGGGAGCTGCAGGAAGAAGGCGCCGTGGGGGGAGGTGAGTGCAGGCTTTGGGGCTGGGAGGCTGGAGGCACACACACCCACATACCCCCACCCCTACATTCCGTTTGAGGCAGCAGGGACCTAAGGCTATAGGCAGCTGGTCCCAGGTCCTATAGCTGATGCACCTGACGCCGGAAACTCCCAGGCCCCTGAGTTATATTCCAGGTCCGTGAGGGTGGGGCGATAGGTGGGGAGGTGT